TATATAAACCCTAAACCCAAACCCCCTGCTGACATTGTGGCTGTGGTAGGGCTTGCGATGAAACCGTAAGACACCAAGCTTGCCAGACATGCGTGTTAATATTACTAGTAACAAAAACTTTTATTACCAGTTTATGCATACTATGAACCTTGAACGTGTTGACGTAGGGCGTGGAATGTCGAGTTACAGAGATGGGGATTGGAACGATACTTGCAGTCCAAACATGAACTGAGAAAACAACTGATGGTACACACACACACACCAACTTACACATGCACATATATACATATATATATATATATATATGGGTAGTTGTCAAAATTATGGTCGCTTTTGGGGTACCCTAAATAATAGGTGCCGTATTATAATAAGGACCAAAAAGGAACCGTAATTTTGACAACCACCCATATATATACTACTGGTTTCCAAACTCGCCATAATATCACCCGACAACCCTCCGTTCAAACCTAGACAAGACATCTGAACATTGGGTTTGCCATAAAATACATAGTGGTATCAGGAATCGGCAAGGAAGAGTATTGCTGTTTTCAGGCCCTTGCCCTATCTCATGGGCTTGTGATTGAAGTGAAATTTATGGGAGAGTCGGTTTAGGGTGTAGCCCTCTTGTAGGGTTTAGGGTGAAAGGCCCCACGTAAATACTGAGTAGCACCAGCCCAAATATGTACACGAGCCCAACACAAGGTGTACGCAGGATTCAGCACGTCCGTCATTGACACTGCAGCACTCACGCAATGAACTGATAAGACGTCACGACCACATCCGATTAGCGTTGCAATGAGCACCGCAGTTCTCTAAATCAGGGCCCCTTTTCGGGTCCTTTACAGGAGTGTCCTACTATTTTAGGGGACCTAAAAAGAGCCCCAATATTAGGGCGCCGGCGATGTGCGCACTCCCCGGGCTTAAACCCTAAGCCCTGATCCCCGAAGTCTTGAGCCTCGAAGCCTTAACCCGAAGCGTCCGAGGTACTGCTATGGGGGCATCCCTAAGTCATGATAGTACTGCCTAGTACAGAGACCCTACCCCTAAACCCTAAACCCTAAACCCTAAACCCTAAACCCTAAACCCTACGCTCTACTATCTAGGTACTTCGGACCCTTTGGGCAAGTGCAAGCCGACTGAACTTCAAAGCAGACGCTTAAACCGAATTACTTAAGGTTTAGGGTTTAGGGTTTAGGGTTTGACACCTACACCCTACCCTAAAGCCGACGATTTCTGACTCTATATCAAAGCCTCTACACCTCATGCCCGACAGGGCTGCAAGACCTGGCAGTTCCGGACCTTCTTCGGTTTGGCTGCTGCCTCTTCTGCTGGTTCCAAAGCCAGCTGTTCCTGAATCTGAAGGGTCCGAGAGAGGAGTTTGGCGCATGATGGATGCCTTTTATGTACGCAGTGCTATCACGTCTACTCAGCAGGCCTTGAAATTTAGAGTAAGCCTTAGAAGGTATGGGCATGGGATAAAATCTACTCAGTTAGGGGTTTAGGGTTCAAAAAGGGCTTGTCGGGTTTAGGGCATATTTGTCTTACATTCTGTAGGGAAAATGAAAAGGTATATGACAGATGCATGAGTACCGATCAGGATTTCTGGCTTCACCCAGAGAGCGCGAGACTTAGGGGAGAAGTGGGCTTGGTCCGTATCAGTTCCCGGCTCAGGAGTAGTTTTCAAGGATCTGCAACCCGATGTGCACTGAAGCCACCCTAAACCCTAAACCCTAAGCCCTCAACCCTAAACCCTCAACCCCTTAAGCCCTAAACCCTACACCCCTAAACCCCTCAAACCCTAAACCCTAAACCCCTAAACCCAAAACCGTAGCGACCCTAAACCCCAAACTCTAAACCCCTAAACCCAAAACCCTGAGTTTCCTCTGTGTCCGCAAGAACCGTGCAAGCGGGCTGAGGACGGGTGCTTTGCCATGTGTACGCATTGACATAACCCCAAGTTAGGGTTTAGGGTTTAGGGTTTAGGGTCCCTGAGGGCCCAAAGGACCCAATAATCGGGTACTCGGTCTTAGGAAAGTAGTTATGTAGGTTAGGGTTTTTGGAGAGTGTATGATTATTAGGTACTTGGACCCTTGGGGTAACATAGGGGCCTTAATGCATAGAACAAGGTTTGGCGCCCATTATGATACTCTGATCCTAGGAAGCAGGGCCCCAAACTTGTATTGGTAATTATTTAGGCCCCTACTTTTGAAAGCACTCGGCCAGGTGATGCA